ATTTAAAAAAAAATTTACCCTCTGCAGTTATTATGCGGATAATAAAGTGGAGAGTTTTGTGGAAATTATGAATATCTATACTTTTATGAAATTATCTTAAAATGAAGATACGCTGACTGCACTAAATAAAAAATAAGTGAAAAAATAATACAAACATTAAAAGTACAAAGATACACGTAAAGAATATATCTCTATGTAAAGAATGTGGCTTTGATTGAAATGATTTTTATTTCGATATGTCATGACCCTCGCGTGGTCACGACCCTGAGTAAGCTCGCGTGCATATACATTAACTTATACCCTTTTCAACTTCACTAAACGATTGTGAGGTAATATTTTTGCTAATTAATTAATTACAAATCAGTGTAAGTGAAGTACTGAATACTTGAAACGGACGGAAGAGCCGAGATTTATCTCGTTTCGAATGATTATATAACTTCTGCAACAATTAAGACATTTAAACATTTAGAGCTGTACCGAAACGCTTATCGCTAACGTTGGTTAACAGTCGTATTATTCTAACTGCCATTGTACAAATGTCATCTTGCTTAGCATATTCCCGACACATATGTCAAGATGTCACGATCGGCTCCGATCACTGCTATAGCCTAATCTCGTTATTAAAAATTGAAGAGAAATACTTAGCCCGCGATACATCGTAATTGCGATAGTTACGGTGTCTCTTAAATATGCCGATTCGAATTTTGCATTGCGTTTCACTCGTAAAACGCAGAATGATATTAAAGGCATGTTTGCTTGATAATCAGAACCACAGCTATCGATTAAATCTATTAGGAACTCAATTGGCGTTACTGAGAGGTACGATAATCTAAAGTACTTTCAACCTGACAGCTCGCGTATAAATACCAATTCGCCTCGCTGCTTGCTGCACGCGAGATACGATCGTGTTCATTGATATTCTAATACGGCAAGTATCCGTAAGTTTTTGTTTCCTTTTTTTTGGTTTCATTCATTGTCCACATTTACAAAATAAATATCAAATATTATTTTATAGCCCCTATAATTATTCAACTGGGCAATTGCGATGTGTTATTACAGTTTAAAATCAATCTTTTAATTTCTCCCAAAGAAATTGAAAATCTTTTAATTTGATGAATGTGTTCATTCCTGGCGAATAGATTTCCGAAGTTTCCTAAGAGTTTGAAAAAAGATTTTCCTACGTCCATATACTGAATTTTTAGTTCGCTCTCGCCCTGCCGTTTCTTATGTTTTCCGATAATTTCGACGTTTTGATCGAGGAGCGCTCGTAAAAATTCCACTAACGTTAAAAAAACCCTTGCGAAATGAGACGAGGTTTCTCACCGCCGTTTATTTCTGACTCACCGCCAGCAATCAAATTTAAAATATTCTGATGGAAAAGCCAGTGCCATATTTAGTTATCAACGCTTGTATTCAATCACCGTGTCCCAATTCCGCTACAGCTAGAAATGTTTCGATTGCGAAGTGTATCGAATAAAAAAATGGGACAGTTATTTCCAGTTATAAATACCCCGTGCTTTTTTTTACTTTAAGGTTGTCTGAGTAGCTCAAATAAGCGTTTCAAGTTCTTTCAAAATAAAAACGAAAGTAATTTATTGTTCTACAGTAAATAATGTATTTATACAAAAGCATCTTACACTACATCTTCGAGTTTGTACAAAGAATCATCTGGATGCAATTACAGATCAGAAATGTTAGTCTAAAAAAAAACTAAACGAGATTTTCTTACCTCGTTCAGTATTAAAGTAAATAAATGAATTTTATACGAAATAAGGAATGTACCTCTATGCGAAATTAGCGCGTAGAATTAATTATATATATTTATATTTTATGCAAGCTAGCGTGCAGAATATTTTTGGATTGGACTAATCATGCATTGTGACGAAACATAACTCATTTGGAATGCATCGCAAATGCCCTATTATATTCGAGCGAAGGAAGTTGGGAAATGCGTTAGAAAGTTCGCGCAATGCGAAATAATTCCTGAGGCGATTTACATTTCATCCACCGCAAATTTTACGCGCTAGCTTTTTCAACGAAAGACGTATTTCGAGAGCAATAAATCGCATCCCGACTGCATCTGGCGTTCATCGGCCAATCCTTCATTGATCTTATCCATGTCTGGGACAGGAATAATCTACCACTGCTAATCTCTTGCCCTCTACATCTCCATTGATAAATTGTATTCCTACATCCTTCGCTCGAATAGTCCGTTTAATGAGCTTTAAGTTCGATAACGCACCGAAAGCGTGGCTTCGAAAAGCAAATTTAGATCAATTACGATCTAAACTTGCTGCATCTTTTATGAGCTTAATATCTTTTATGTACGATCAAGGATATTAAAATTAATCTTCAGAGTAGAATAAAGAAACATATCGTCAAGTCCTAAATATTTTCAATATTATTGTTTATTTATTTCTTTATATACATTGAATAATTATGTTGATATCACACTCCCAAAGTTTTTCTTTTCGTATATACGAGTATAGATTTCACGGTGCTAATGCACTTTGGTCTTGTTTTTAACCGGATTTGGAAATATAGGTGCGTAAAGTTAAAAGCGTCCATAATGTTTTGAAACAGATATTCTCTGGGCGGTTTTTTTTTATACAAATGAAATGTGAATGTAAGTTATAAAAATACACAAAAGTGAACGATAGATGGCAAATTTATTTTGCGTTGGAAATATGATATGATTATGTGAAATCGTATCTCAACAAGGGATTATTATTACGTTCTGCAAACACCAACAATATGCTGCAAATGCGATTTTGGATACGATGTGATATTATTACCATATTATCATTATTACATAACTTATTATTACACAGTATTGCCATTAAGTAATGTTTATTGCTTCACTTCATATTTCAAACCACACTGTTTGTTGTAAAAGATCCTTTTCCGGTTACCCGGTAAATTGTTAAAAACTTTTTGCAGTTATTATAAAACATCTAATACTTTTTATTGTTGTAATTGGATGTGAAAATTATGCTGGTGACACAATAGTGATCTGACAAAATATCTTTCGCGAGACACGAAGTTTGAAAGAGTATTACGGGGATAACGGAGGCTACATCGATCCTGAATCAAGGAAAAGTCAAGCAAAATTGAATCTACCAATGCGGAAAGCTAACTCACCGAGCTTTAGTCGAGATATGAGCTATAAGAAGCTTTTATGGAGTAATACTAAAACGTACAGGGAAAGGCAAACAAATTTATATCTCCTTACGAAAGGATATTTCCTGGGATGAAAATATATGACATAAACGATTAAGAAATGACACATCTTTCTAATAAGAAATCTTTTAACTTTCCTTCCTTCGCGTTTTAGACACAACTGATTGTTTAAAGGAAAAGTTTATCCGTTGATTATTTTCTCATATCAAAAGTGACTACAGACTAGATGCTTTACAACAGATTTTTGGAACAAAAATATGTGCACAAATATAGTATAAAAATTAATCATTTGCTCTAGAGAGTTTTTTTTTAAGAAAGTATGTCACTACATTGAAATTCTTCATGGAAACTACACAATTATATATAAGATTTCTCTTTAATAACACAATACTCTCTGCTTTTTTTCTCTCTCTCGCGTTCATTTATTCCTTTATTTTTCGTGGCTCTTATTCTGACACATATCCTAGATTTATTCGTACTTTCTTTTATTTTTGCGATGAAATACGATCATATACCATCACGGCTGTGGACAGGAGATACCAACAATAAATGCGTCATTCATCATCGATCGAAACACCCGGTGTAAAGTATCGATCATCCCTCGATGACGGAGATAAATGTGGTCATCGAGTAATATTTATATGCGCTGATAGCACAGCAGACTTATTTTGCGTAAAATCTTTATTGTATATAACATTGCCGAAATTTGTATTGTTACATAAACAATATTTTAAATAATACTTAACACACATGTCGCTCTTAAAACATGTCTTCAGATAGCGAGGATGACTAAAACTATTTCTGTGAAACATTTCGTGACTAACTACTGTACTAACTGCATAAGAAGAATGAAATTAATATCTTTATATTTGTATGCAGCCGCATAGAACAATGTTTTTCTTCTAGGCTGAGTTTAGTTTCACACTATGCGCTAGTAGAAAAGTGTCAACGCAAGTGATGTGAGTCGATGCGTGGTCAGACACAGAGTACGAAGTACGGAATTAGCTTAAAAGAGAGGTGTGCGACTATAATTCATGAGACCAATCGATAGTAAAGCCGCGACTACACGAGAAAGCGGCTGTTTGCAGCGTTTGTCGCCTGTGTTTAAGGTTTGTTTAAATAAATTTACATGTTCGGAGGATATCGATCAATCAATCTTGTCTAATACTGTTTCCACGCGATCAATCTTTACGGAATGTCACGAGTTTATCTCTAACAATAGATACTATAAATGTTGTTAAGTCTTTAACACTATACGTATTTTGTATACATATAAAATTTAGTATACACATGTATATTTAAAAACTAAAAAGAATTATGTTTAACAAGTATATATAAATCAGTAATATATACAAATAAAAATAATACCAACGCTATGGTAAAAATAATATCGCGATTATAAGAAAACAATTTTAGTAAAAGCGAAAAGATGAAATATTTTAAAAGAATAAGCAGTAAGGTTTAAATACTAATAAAACGCTCTGTTTGTGGTTTCATAATTGTTACAACTCTGTATACATTTTTAATGACCTCAAAGCTGTCAGTATTTCAATGTTAAAACTGTTATCTTGAAGTGGAAAAATTCAGCACTTCGCTAATGCAAAAATGGGTCGTTCGATACCTGAAAATATTCAATAAAGAAATGCTCAACGATACGTCTCGCATATTTATCATACCAGACTGGAATTAATTAAAACTCTTAATTAACGGAAACTGTTTCTCCGTTCCTGTCTGACCATGAATCGGCTCTCTACTTATTCCGTTACAGAGCATGTTCCATGACATTATTAAAGCAGCAAGACGCGATTTTCTGGTTTCAGCGGAAGCAGGAATCGCTGTAGCGGCGGAGATGAAGCAGCCAGAGGAGAGAACAGAGGAAGAGAAAATGGCACTGCTGGGTAGACCGCGCCTAGGCGAGGTGTCTCGGGCGCAAATCAGGATTAAAGAATCCAAGGAGTTCAAGAACACTGTGGATAAGCTAGTCCAGCGAGCAAATGCCTCCATAATCCTCGGTGAGCTCCTAATATGATCTTTTCTCAGAACATCTGCCGTAAGGTATAAAATATATAGATTACACCTGCACGCGCGCGCGCGTATATACACATAAGGTATTTTTCTACTCTCTAGCGATGCAACCGAGGAGCGAAAAAGTCCAAATCTATTTAATTTTCGTCCGGGAAAAAAAATGGAAACATCTCAATCGTGTAACATCTAATTATACACAATTTTTTAATCGTCAGATCTTCAGAGATCTGACACTTTTGTTGAATATTCAACGTTATTATCTATCGAGAGCTAATCATGTCCTTTTAGAACATTTAATTATAGATTTAGTTAGATCTGAATAGATGATCTCGAACGTTCAAGGAAAGAGTCAAGTCTCTGAGGATCTGATGATTTTTAGAATTAAATCTCACGAGATATAATTAGATATTACATGATTGAGACATATATAATGAGAGTTTTTCCATTTTTTTCCCGGGCAGAAACTTTTTTTTCAAAAGAGTATCATTACATTTTTTTATTTAATTTTTCGTGAAATTCACATCCTATCCGATTGTAATATCAATTCGAGGACAGCTCATGTACACATATATGAATGCAGTATTTATATATATTTGTATATAGTGTTGAAAGAGAAAAGTTTTTGTAACTTAACATGTCAGAGACAGACATAAATACGAAATCTGTGTAATATCTAAATTATCATATTCATTACGGTCGCTGCTGAGACAGCGTCACATCTTTAGTTAAGCGCATCCAGCAGTTCCTTGTTGAAACATAAGAAACAAGAGGAAGAAGGCCGAGGGAAAACTAGTCCAAAAGTTGCAGCTAACTTCTACGACTGTCTCATAATTATTAGTAGTCAGTAAAATTTTTTTACGCGTTTTTATCTTCGCAAGAAATTCTCTTCGCCAACTGCCATAAATTTATTATCGAACAGAAATGCACCTAACTAAACCAACGTAATCTTTCCCGACGGAGGATAAAATGCGTATCACGGGACGCGCAGGCATCTAGATTGGGGGTCTCTTCAGAAATGCAACCCTGAGGAATGCGGCGTTATATAGCGGCTCGTGAAATTCAAGACTCCCTCGACGCCATATGCATGATTCTCACGTTTCTGCGTTTCCTGTGCGCATCTTTTTGCTGCATACACTATGCAAGCGTTTCAGATCCGTGCTTCTTATATTTCTTCATATCCCGCGCAGCTTTTTCTAACGTGCATTAAGCATAGATGCATGAATTGCGATAAAAATTTGAATTGCAATAAACTTGACGCTCAATACGTCAATTGTAAAGACTTTCACATGATAATTAGCGTAGTACGATCTTCCAATTACTTTTATTTTATAGAAAAAAGAATTAAGATTTTTTTAAGTAAAACACGTATACAATTTGCACAACTCTTGTGCGACAGATACATTGGTACGAATAATAAAAATGAAATCCCTCGGACATGGCGCCGCTGCTATCTCTTGCCACAAATACAATAAACTTTCGACAAAGCCTTGAAAATGATCGTATTGATTTGCTTTAGCTATGGGTTTCGAACACGGAAAATAATAAGAACACATGAATAAATTAGCAACGAGTTATTGTCTATTGTCATTTTTGTTCGTCTCCCTCTTGCGCTCGGGAGGCTTTCCTCTTTCTCACGATAGGAAATTATTCCAGGTATTTTATGTTTCTTATAAACATTCGAGAACGGTGAAAGCTTCGGTCGATCAATTGAATACACACAGAAATAGGAGACTTCGCGTGAGGAATGTTCAAAATATTTAAAATATGTAACAAACACACGCGTAAAAAAAATTTATTCAAATATCTTATCTGGTAGATATCTACCGCTCAAATTGAACAACATGAAAACGACTCGATCCCCTCTCTTTCTCTTTCTCTTGCTCTCTTGCTTTTTCTCCCCTCTTCCCTCCCCCCCTCTTTCTTTTCGTATCTTGTGTGTATACATACACGTGTAGAAATAAAATCGATTGCTATGAGAAAAGAATATCGCGTTGCTCTATTATAGTGCGTTTTTCTTTGTCCGGTTTTCCTTTCTGTACTTTCTGCTTTCACTCGGCCTGTAAAGCGGAATCGCTCAAAGCATTTTTCAACTTTTACCCTCGATAAAGCTCTTTATTCGCTTGCCCGTCACACTCGTGAATTTGAATGTGTATAAAAAATTATTTTATATAATAATACTTTTTTATCATATTGGGTTTTTTGTAAAAAAAACAAGCTAAATCTTTCATTTGTTTACACATAATAGACAGAAACTTTTGTAATCTAAATAATTTCTGCGATAGTATTAACTATATTGCGAATTAATCGGGAATTGTTATAAATTATTTTTTTTTCATTGATACTGAAAAAAGAATCTATCCATTGCAGAATACCGTAAATTGCAACACTTCTCTTTTTTAGTTATGTTTCTCTGTCTTGCCTTCTGGTGTACAAAGTGTGAAATATCGTTCTTAGGCACAAGTTCTTGGAAAGAACAATTCACGGAAGCGGTCACCGTCAGTGGAGGTGATGAGGACGCAGAGGGTGGAAGCCAACCTTCCTCACCATCCGCGATGGATTATCTTATGCACTCGCTTACCATCTTCTGGAAACTACTCTTTGCCTTCGTTCCGCCCACAGGTGAGCAATAATTTCTTCTGCACGTTAATCACCGCTTTCTGTACACATAGAGTGGACCACTTTAATCACACCCCAATTTTTCATTGGTTACTCTGATTTGAGAAAATTCTTTATTGTCCTTTCTTTGACTTTAGAAATTTCAATGAAAGTGTTTCAAATAAGAATATCTCACATTTTATACTTTACGAGGATGTTACGCTGTCGAAATTTTATAAAATAAAAATATAACGATGTTTTATATATTTTTATTTTTTGTTATTCTGTATATAAAATATTATAATAAATCATCAAATCAACGAGAAGTTTTATATTTTCCTGACAATTTTTGATAGAAAATTAAATTCATAACAAAACACATTCATTAAGTCGATAAATAAATTTCTTTTTCGGTAATTTATTATATTATTTTATACGTGTATTTAAAGATTATAGAAGAAAATTTTTATCGATGATTCTTATGAGTAAAATTTGGTAAAAGTGCTGAACCATTTCAACATTTGTCAATACTCGAAAAAACGTTGTCAGCACATCCTTAGAATAATAATTTGCCCGTGATTGCGAATGGTGTTCTCAATCTTATGTGAAAATAACGTTGATAGATACGAAATTGCCATCAACTTTAACGCGATGAGAGATAAAGTGAATTCTGATCGAAATGCATTTATGATGGCGCAATCTGCAAACCGGCATACCTGAACGTTCTCACGGCAGGCTAATTTTTTTTTAACGTTTACTTGTGCGAAAAGATTACACATTGTTTTATATAACACGTGAATTTAAAAAAAAAATCGCTATGAAATTTGAACATTAGCACAGGTTTTCCAATAATCCACCTTATTGTAGGCAGTAATAATATTTTACATAAATATTAATAATTTTTTAGTACAAAAACAAGAGAAATTCATGTAGCTCCTTATAACTTGTGAAAAGTTTTAAGAAAATCAATTTTTATGTCTGTACAATTTTATTTCTCGATTTTTTCACGGATTTTCTTCGTGCCGTTTATTTATAAGATTTCTTTAATTTTATTTTAACTTTTCCCTGTATTTTTTGAGATACGGAAGAGTTCTTCTGCACTCTTTAGTCTTGGCTCTGCTTCCATCCAGGTGGAAGGAAACGAGGAAAGACGGTAAGAGGAGGATAAAGGGCGAGGAGAAGACGTGCTTTATTTCAGCAAGCACAATCGCAAAGGCCTGCTGAACTGGCAAAAGCTCTGGAAACTACTGTATCGAGCAACGTAATTTCACCTTGTTTATCTTTCTCTTCTTTTTCTCCTGCCGTCCTTATAGATCAACGCTTCCGTGCAGAAGCGTAAGATGCAGAATTGTATTTACTTCTATTCCTCTCGCCTCATTTTTTATAAAGAAGAAAGCTTAATTTCCGCACAACCGGAAGTGGTCGAGGAATTTCTTTGATGTCATCAAAAGCAAATCTTAAGAATACAATAAGTAACTATTCCATCTTTTCGAAGGAAGTATGATTCATCTAATATAAGAATATGCGCGATTAAAATAGTATCTTAAAGGAAATAACGAATAATTTAAAAGAAGAGTAAAATTAAGAAAAAGAACTTTTCCGATGTTAGTAAAAAAATATCGCAGTGTCCGCACTTTTTCACGATTGCCGATAATTCGTAGAATATTCTGGTTACATTTGCAATACTTTCGGATGAGCGATAATCTAGAGTTATGTAACTGCAGATTATGCAACCATAATATGCGGTTGCAATGGTATGAGCAAGGCAAAATTTATGAACACGTCGTTTTACTAAACGCAATTTTCCGCAGTGAGACATGTTGCCGGAAAAGCCACCAAAATCCGAAGATGATAGTTGAATTCCCAAGAACTTAATTTGCAAGTTACGTATATAAGCGCGGAAATGTGCACAATATCTCAGTCTCGCGGCTTTTTGAGGATATTCGAAAATCCTATAGGCATGTATGCGCACAGACAAATACGCGCACATATATAAACAGATAGATAGAGAACGCTACACGTACGGGGCAGTGCTCTGCTCTCTCATGAAATTTCCGCGAAATTTCCTGCGTGATTTACGGTGACCTGTGCTTCTATACTCTTTTCCAAAGTAAATTTCGTTCAGAATTTACGACAATAGCTGCCTGTGCAGAGTAGCGAGATACTAAACATACTTTTCTTTAACAAAAATTAAGTGTTGATAAATTCTTCCCAACAAATGATAAGTTTGCTTCGATGAAATAAGTAAATTGGTAAACGCTTTTTTCAAAAAATTGTTTCCCGACACTGAAGACAATATTTCGCTTTATACAGGGTGAGGAAAAAGTATGGAAACCTCTAAATCTTTCAAAAACTATCATTGATTTGATCTTGAAAAGTTGCTTGAAGGTCACGCGAAGGTTGAATTTTTTAAACGGAAACCTCCATTTCTTATTACATCATCTTTTTCTATTAATTAATTGGAGCAACTTTTGTCTGAAACATCCGTTTCTAAAATGCATAGTTTTTGAAAACTTTAGGGGTTTCCACACTTGTTCCTCACCCTGTATATCCAAACAGGAGTAGTTACAACAGAAATAAAAATTATATAAGAATAAACACTAAACTAGACTACTAAATATAGAATCTTCCTTTAGTGTAGAATGTTTCTTCTTGTATCAATGTCCTGTGTCAATAAGAGCGATCGAGTTGCTTGTAAAAGACCACGGAACACTTTAATAAATCAGTTGAGTTTAGTAGGGAGAGTATGGCGAGCGTGTTGTAATAATACACACCGGCCACGTGTTAACGGTAAAACTAACCGCGTGTTTACAGACTCTTTAGTTATATTAACACCCACGCGTTCCATCGTAAACGTATATCTTCGTATACGGATTTCTAATAATAATTTTCTTTTGTTGTCGCATATCCCGCATACATGCGCGCGCGCACAGAAGGAGAGAGTGCTTGCAGTGCGAATCACTGAGCCTCGCCGCTCTCAGGGAATTTTTTATGTCTCTGATAGCATTTCCACGGAAGATGTTCCGCGCGTTTCAATTGCCAATGTCTTGGTCGGTATTGTTTGGAGAATGTTAGAAGCTGATAATAGATATCCGTGCCATTATATGCCGCCTCAAGGACTTTCATCATCTGTGTGATCTTGAAACGCTTACAATTCTATAGACGGTGCACGCACAAATGCGAGAAGATGCTTTCTTTTCAAGAGTATCAGTGATAACGGTGAAGCTACATTTACAAAAGGAGATCGCTTCGATTTTTCAGAATAATGTACGGGATTGAGAAAATATACAATAGTTCACGAAACATAATCCTCTCTCCAACATCAGTTTCAATGTAACGTGTGGCATGGAACATAACAAGAAAAAATGGAGAAAGAAGAGAATATAAATGCGTGTGATACAAGTGAAAATATCTGAAAGAAAGCGATTATCGAAAATATATCGATTGCTGCATCATTAAATTACATTTGTTACCACAAGAATTGTGATACACAAGATACAAGAATTAAAAAAATAATAAATTAGTAAGGCTCGTATGTGTTAAACACAAATTTCAAAGAATTTAAAGGACTCGGAGCCGTGACAGGATGGTAGTGTCTAAATATTCTATTCTAAATTTATTGCGAAAAAATATCACCTCGGCCAGGGTCGTTAAAAAATTTTTTTTCATTTTAAATGGTAATTTAAAATGAAATATATCGCGATTGTGATTCCATATTATTAGTGAGGTATTACTAAACTTTGAAGAATATTAAAAAGAATTTGCAAGTGATACGATTCGCAGGTAGGAAGAATATATATACTCGTATATTTACATAAAATATGAAAGCAGTTACCGTAGTAATTTTTATGAAATTAATCTGTATTGAATTAAATTAATTGTGCACTTTTATTTTCACTTTTTAGACGATCTTTCACGAGCTGAACGTAACTTCGAAGCACGCGTATAAGAAATATGAACGAGAAGTTAAACATCGTTGAGGAAGTTGTCGGGAATAGCTATGTAAAAGCTACATGCTTAGAAGGATAGCTTATAATTAATAAGTTACGATAATATATTTGAAAGTTTTTCTACAATCACACAAAAATATGTACAAAATTAATGTACGCCATGCACATATTGTAGATAAATTTTGTATAACTGTAACTATAACTTTATGAAGCTTGTTATATAATTTGTATAATCTAATGTAATATTATTTTATAAGCAAACTAATATGTACAGGACAACAATATACACAAATTGCATACTACATTAAATTTTTTATTAAAAATTTACTAGAACTGTATACATTAACAAACGTACGTACACGACACAGAAAAAAAAGTGTCACATCACTCTTATATAATTAAATTATTGCATTTGTTGCTTTTTATATACGCAATAATCTTTCATCTTCTCCGAAGCATTTAATAATCTTACATTCTAACAATATATTACAGTCTTACTTAAATATTATAATTGTTACTTCACGAATACATATAATGATTTTGATAAGAAAATCATTTAAATCATTATAATCTTCGATTTAAAAATATGTTATTTTCTATCCAATATTGTTTCCTTTTCATTCAAGCAAATAATTCTTAAATAACAAGCATATATTTTTCTTGATTAAATTATATAAAATTGCTTCATTACAAGTGAGTTTCTCTTGTTTTAACGCAATATAATCTCATTTCAAGATTTTCACGTTGAAACTAAACATATTTTCAAAAGAAGAACATTCTTCTCTTCAGTGTATTAAATTTCAATCGAAATGTCCATTTATAACAGTTTTCAGCTAATTTCTATAAGTGATTTTGTTTATCGGAAATAGTCAATTACGGTAGAATAGCGCTTTTAACGTCACGCGCTTCGCGATTTGTAAAAGCCAGGCGGAATTGAGCTGAGGCAGCGCAATTATTCCCGGGAGTGAACGTAAATGAGGAAAAATTGCGGACTTTTAACTAGACTAATTAAGCTCTCAAATGTGGTAGTGCATGTTTGCACGAACGAAGAGCGTCACTTTATAATTTGCATTTAGCTCATCCCGCATATCGTTAAAGCTCTTTACTACAATTACACAATGTTTTTCTATCATATCCAAAAATATCACTGATTTCAATCCATTATCAAAATGAATTTTAATATTAATTTCATTTAATGTTTCATAGCCGCTTGTCACGACATGTGTTCACACTGGAACACAGCGTTGCGCGCGCTATTTGACTTCAATTTATATTTATACGCGATCTTCTTTACACATTAAGATTTTCTTCACGGCAAAGAAGATGCAACGTAAGAAGACTTAATTTGACAGTGATGAATTGTCAAAATATACATAATCTCCGCGTTGATAGCTCTCGCAGCATGCGGTGAGCCGAGCGAGAGAACCAATCGTGGAAAAGCATCGACGATCACATCCCTTACGTGCCCCTTTTTAATGGGATAGCTCTTTATTTCCTCTATGTTACATAAAAAAAGTACTTGTATTATTTCATGACAACCCAGCCCTTTGTTGTACTTTTGCCAATCGTAAGGGAACCATTTTTGAATTTTCAGATATCGCTGGTGGTTATTTGTGCTTTATCGTCAGCATTCTAGGGATCGGCGTTGTTACGGCGGTAATCGGCGACGTTGCCTCGTATTTCGGGTGCACTTTGGGTATCAAGGACTCTGTCACCGCGATTGTTTTCGTCGCCCTCGGTACCAGCATTCCCGGTAAGTATCCAAAAACGGGGATAATGTATCAGGAAGGAGCGGTTATATTAGGCGAGAGAGCATAGTATTAGAAGAACGATGCGTCTCCCACATTATAGTTTATCTTCGCATTGATCGCATTTCGCATTGATCGCATTCCACTTATGACGCCCTGCTATATTACGGCAGGCTTTTGGGATTAAGCGAGGGGAGCGATGATAATTTATCGCACTTGGTCTTTGTGTCCGGGAATAATGGCTGCGCCGACGGCCTATGTTCTTTCCACCTATTCGCGTGGCACGTTTAACATGTGCCACCATAAACTTGAGCTAAACATACTTTCTTCTTCCACACGACGCAAGAAGGTTGGGCAACTTGAAAAAAAATTCCATTCTAAAAATTGCAATATTGTAAATACGTCGCGCAATTTAGCGCGATCTTGTCATAAAGTTAAAGTAGCACCGTTAAAACGTTTGCCTTTAGAAGACTTACGTCACAGGGACGCGTTGTCATGTAATATATTTACGTCAAGAGATTACATATGTATATTCAGAAGGTAAAAAAATATACCGATCTTCTCCGCCTTCCTCTGAAATAAGGAGAATCAAACTCGACGTACGTACATGGGAAAAAACGATATATCACGGGACCTTATTTTAGTTTTTATTCTACAGGCTGCCAATATTACTGCGTTGGAATTTTTCATTTCTTTCGTTCTGCAAAATTTCTTCACTTTCAACATTACAATGTAATTTACAAGATTGTATCTCGTTGTTGCATTCTAGTTAATGTTTTATGCTGTCACACTTTAAGCACTTGAGATTTCAAAGTGTTTCATATTTTGTATATTTTCTTTGAATAAAAAAAGAGAGATAACTTTATTTAAAAATGCACTTTTCGATAATCCAGTTGTTTAAGAGTTAATTATGCTTTATTGGTAATTTTCTGAAAAATCTGACACAGACAGAGAGAAATTAGTTATACAAAAACATCTTTGGAAACAATTGCGACCTGACCTTTATGTCTTCTGCTATTTTTATACGAAATTCACGACGAGGGCATTTAATAAATCACTTGAGTGGGCGTTATCAAAAGCTATTAAAAGCGTAACGACAGCCACGTCATTTCGAGTTTCTGGGTCAATAGGTTACGTCCAAAATTTACATCTAAAACAATGGTTCGAAATTGATTATCCTAAATATGTTCATAAAATCTTAATGATCAGTGAATGCAGTTACTCTATTTTTGATACGACGGAAACACTTCTCTATACGATAATTTTCATTCTTAATTTAACTTACAGAGTAAAAATATTCTGACACTTCTCTGTTACAGATTTACATTCTTTCAAAGTTAACTTTTAGCTAAAACAGTAATGGCGAGTAGCATAACTTAATTTTTATTATAAATCGCGCGTTTATTTTTATTGTACGCGAGGAATTATCGATGCCTTCCCACATGAATTTGTGCACATATCAACGCATTTATACATTTTGCATATACACGTACACGGAAAATGTATATGTGTTCTACCCGTGCCTAAATTCGTATGGGAAGGCATCAGTGATTCCTATTGTACGTCCACGGAATATGAGACCTATCTTTTATCAAAAACAACTGAGCGTATATAATAATTCAATAAAAATGTATCTTAATTATAGATATTATTTTAACAGAACTTAGTTTCTTCATATTCTCAATTATTGTGAAATTTCCCATAAACACTGACGCTCCAATTTACGTCACAGTCGTCACTTTATATACAATGTCAATATAAGTTTTTTTTTCTTAAAAATTTAATACAAATAGTATTTCATATTATATCTTTTTAAATTGCAAAGAATAGGTGCGCATCGCCGGGTTATGTCTGTCTTAAAAAAAAAAATGCCGGCCCGGTCGTCACATTGACCGAATATCGATGAGATTTGCATGACGCACAGCTTCTTGGCTGGATTACTTAAAGGCCACTGTACTCTCCTTCTACTGTGTTTCTTCCCTCTTAGAAACTTTACAAGAAACTCTCTTCTCCTAGAACCTCATCAATATTTATGCCGGAGGGTACCTCCGATCTCCCAAAGTACCGCTCACCGAGATCGGTTTGGCTATCTTCCTCTTCGTATCACCGACAAAAAAGCAAGAGAGGATTTATTTAGAATACTTATACAGGATGTCTCAGAATTGCACAGCGCATGGTGTCAAGAGACATGTTCTGTATCTCGTTGAATCATGCGTGGCAAGTAGCGAGGCAAACCGCGTGTCTACAGAGCTTATATTTTACGTCGGATTGTTTTACATTTGATTAATTGTCATTACTTTTATTTATTATAGAGGAAAGTCCCCCTATTACGACCCAGTCAGCAAAGTGTTGGCAGATTGGCAGCAGATTTATCAGAAGCCCACACCAAAACCATAGCCATCTGTGTCCACATTTGGCTTTTGTTTTGGCAACAGAGTCTGCAAAACATACGCCGTCAACAGATTGTCGGCAGAAAACGAACAGGTCCAGTTATGTGAGCAGATTTTGTTGTATCTCTGCTGACACGCTGGCAACATGTCGAATATATCAGTTCCTGCATGCAATCTGCAGTCTTTTTGCCTTCAAAATTTGTAGTGGGCATTTGACGAAATCTGTTCTGACAGATTTGGCTATCTGGGGCGATGGGCTCCTAATGTGAGATAGCGGAGTTTCGGCTGAATTAACAGGCATCATCCGCTGGTACCATCATGAACCCAGGTAGCCAGCTGACGTCACTTGTCGTCATTTTCACGCGAAAATGACATTTCTGGCGACAAGTGTGGCCGGCTGGCTACCCGGGAATGTATTGCCCTCGCAGTGAAATCTCTGTTTAGTGGAAAATTGATCGTTAAACCGTGTAATCGGTGCGAAAAAAAATTTGCGATTGAATTTGGACGTTGAAAACCTGCTGCCTCGTATTAGAACCGTATCACATAACAGAGGACTTTCCTCTATAGATATACACATATAATTCCATTTACACTTTTAAAGATTTATTATTATTTTCATATTAGAGAATATGCCTTTGATTTTTTTTCTCACAATGCTGTGAAAGAATATAAAATCTACTGATTAATCGTTGTTCAGTTCAATGAAAATATTGCACGAATGCGTGTCTACAGTCAACTACAAATTCTACTTGTTTTAATTACCGATTGGTCGTTATTAACAGTTTATAAAGTTTATAATTAGTAATTAACAATTAGTCGTAATTATTTTACTCGTTAGTTACTAAATTATTCGGTAAGATAATTACGTTTCACGCTAGTGCTAGGCAAGGTATCATTCACGGTGGAATGAATTACTGAGCATTACTACTGCTGCGACAGCCAGTAGTAATTACCGAAGGCATACGCTGAGCGTAAGCTTAGCGTACATCTAAACAGTCGTCCTTACTAATTCGACTAATTAATTATTGTATTGTCGGTACATACAATAGTACACAGACTAGCAGCGACGCAAAATGAACAGAGGACGTGAACGCAGTAACAAACCTATATAAGTCTTACCGTGCACGCGCTTGCACCGTGGATAACTTTTGTAACAACGTGCCTCGTAAAAATCTCGCTTGTCTCGAAATTGTTAAGAAGACATTTTCCCCGAGCGTGTACATTTTTCCAGCAAGACCCTTTGGAGAATTTCTACCCACTCCTGCGTACCTCTGATATGTATCAATTTTGGAAACCGTCGTATTTACACCGCGCGCGAATTTGGAGCGCACGTTTTACCACGCTATTATTGAACACATGCACACGTTTCGCATATGTGCTCTGCACTACGGGATTTTCTTACCCTCGCTAGGCAACAACGACGACGGTACAACTCACCCTCTTGCGTTCAACTCGACGACCGAACTTACGCCGGTATAAACTGCAAACTGGTACAAGCCGCATATGCCAGGTCGTTACCGCAAATCGCGTCCTGCAGCACAACGGCTTTAAGTGCAGTTGACGATCTTTGATTCCCGACAGAATGCGTACTAAAAACCCACTTTGCTACTTGCGTGCGGGTCATGCATGCGGCGCTGGCGTGAAATACAGTTTTATCTCTACATAACACCGCGAATGAAGCATTAAACTGGCGGGCAAAGAAAAAGCGGTATCAGCTAAATAAACCTTGGGCTCGCCAGCCTTGACCGTTCGGCGGGGAGATGTATTTTTAAGATTGGATTGAATGAACAATACGAAAAGTATTCTGATTCACCTGTCACCGGCATCGCTGATGACGGCTCAAAGTAGAGTCGAATCGATACCACGTATCCTATTTATTTGTGTATCCTATTAGTTATTAAAGATTTATATAACGTTAACTTACGCACTGTCAATCGTATTGTATTCTCAAAGTCCCATTTAGTTGCTGCTTGCTAACGTGAGAAATACGACATTTAAAAACAGCCACTAAAATTTACTTATTTATGTAATTTTATGTCTAGAAAAGTATGAGACGGTGAAAAACTTTCAATTTCTTTAGAAAGTGTTGGCGTAAGAAGAAGGAAATGTAGAGGAAAGTCCTCTATTAGGATTCTAATATGAGATAGTAGGTTTTCAACGTTCAAATTCAATCACAAATCTTTTTTCGCAATGCTCACACGATCTAACAATGGATTTTTTACTAAACAGATTTTACTCCAAGGGCCATAAATTCACGGTGGAACCAACAGATAATGCATATTAATTTAGCGGAAACTCCGCTATCTCATATTAGGAGCCTAACTCGGTCCCCCTATTAGGGACTTTGCTCTACTTCTGTAACAGAAACGTTCGAAACGTTTTAAATATCTAAAAAGAATGACAGTCATAATGTTTAATCTTCTAATAAATCGCGTCGTCCGTGCGCTAATAATTTTGTGCGCGACACATACTTGTCAATATATAACAAAGACTTTGAATGCACGGAATTATTTCAGATACATTCGCGAGCAAAGTGGCCGCTTGCCAGGACAAGTATGCCGACGCGAGTGTGGGCAATGTGACTGGAAGTAACGCGGTAAACGTCTTCCTGGGAATCGGCGTCGCGTGGAGTATCGCCGCCATCTACCATGCTTGCCACAACGAAACGTTCTTTGTCGAACCTGGCAAGTAAGTAAGAAAAACGATTACAAACGTCCGGTATAAAAAGTGCTAGAGATTCACCGCACTCGAATTCACACGATGATCTTCGAAAGAGGCCGTTTAAAACATGTTTTCCCTTTACCAGAAAGCACTTTCCGATACAACAGATAATAAAACAGCTGTTCTTTATTATATGCGTTAAGGGGATCCTAAAGTCATCTGTTTTACCAACACATTCGAATATAGTTTTTGCGCTGGTAAATCTTTTTATTAGCTTTTATGCACAAAATAACAGGATAAGTTGCGGACCGCGTAGCAGAACATCTTCATACTTAAAACATTCAGTTCAGAAGTCTGATAAAAACGATATCGGTATTTGAAATTTTCAATTCGTAGTTCTAACTAAATTTGAAATTGGCTTTATAAAATTGCAAAATTCTTCCACACGATTGAAGTACGCATAAGGACAAAACCAGGAACAGTCATCTTTATAAAGAAAAAACGAAGAGAAATAAAAACTATCACTTCAGCAATTGCTCAGGTAGCAATTGCTAAAGTGATAGTTTTAATTACTCTTCGTTTTTTTTATATATATAATTAATTTTATATATTTTTTGGACGAAATTGACGCTTGAACCTAACCCAGTGAGAAATGATTCGTCGATCGACGTCGAAATGATGTCGAATCGACGTCGTTTCGACGTCGATCGACGAATCATTTCTCACTGGGAACGATCTGGAGCTATCACTGAACATTTATTTCTCTGTCGCCTCTGTAATAAAAAGGAACAGGTACTCGCGCACGTGTGTACACGCATGTATGGGGACGCGTGCGTTTATATCACTTAAGTAATCAGCAAAATTGGTTTTCAATTAGTTAAGTCATAATCCGCGAACACGTTTTCGGCGCACGGCTAGTTCGAGATCGTCCCAGCGGGATCGGATATGGCGCGATGACACGGAACGAGATAACGTTACGTCAGATTAAGTAAAGCGTGACCTCGATAACCAACCATCATTTCCCATTTACGATCTCGTTCGTGAAACTATTTCTAAGATATTTGGTCGAAGTACACGGCGACAGCAACTTGGCTGACGCCCTCGCGACGGCGACAGTTAACGCGACTGCCATTGTTCCGCGCTACGAAATTGCCATCAGTGAAAATTTCGAAGAAAGTAGCCGAGAGATTGGCCGTTTGTCTACATCGAAAGACACTCCATGTGCTATTGAAGCGATTATTGCCCCGGAATGCGTGTAATACGATTGGTGTGGAGAGATTGGCCGTTTCTTATCTTTTGACATTTTGTGCGCACCCGTCGTGAAAAGTGATACTATTTGGAATATTTAAAAACTGTTTAAAAGTCCCTATTTTATGGCGTGCAATGTTTCACGCTACGGCGCTGACACCGTATCCCATTTCACGAGGATTTCGACGGATTGCCGACCGCAGAATGGAATGTTGCACGCGGCCTCGTATCGGATGATACTGGGTGTTTTCCAGCAAGGACACGCCACAGTACTGTGTTTGTGCCGCGCACGATACTTGTTGGAACGATTGGAATTCTCGGCTCGGTTTCTGAGTGTGCATTACAGACTTAGAGAGTGCTGCGTCACGGTGCATTCTCTACTTTTGGATAGATAAACAAGACAGAGATTTGAGTAGCCGTCGTAAGAGAGTTGAACGCTTAATTCCATAGTTGGTCGCTCGCTCGCGTCTCTACGCGAGGATCCCGACTACAACTCGCTCCGTCGCTTTCAACTACAATCCGGTTGACTTTCTTTCATGAAACGCAGCCTGGCCTTCTCCGTCACCCTGTTCTGCAGCGAGGCTTGCTTCGTGATCCTGGTGCTGCTGGTGAGACGAGTGAAGTCGATCGGCGGCGAATTGGGCGGACCTTTTATACCGAAACTCATCACGTCCGTGTTCCTGTTCTCCCTCTGGCTGCTCTACCTCATCATGTCCACCCTTGAGGCCTACGGCGTGATCCAGGGTTTCTAAATCAAGGCCAATGCGACGCCATTACGTCGGCCTATCCTCTGCGTATATCTTAGCTCTGGCGTCCGCCAAGGCATGTGCTCAACGAAACTATTAACCGGTGAGTGTATAGCGACGGATCTTCAATTCTTTTAACACGTGGATTCAATTATTTGAATAATTAAATTAAATTAATTTGTAATATTAATAATTAATCAGTGTCGAAGACTCATCGTGTGTGTGTGTGAAAATCCCAGGTAGCAATGCACGTGTAAAAGACGTCATAAAGATATCTTTGAGACAACTTTCAGACGTACGTGTCTGAATATTTTACTCGACGCATGTAAAACGCATTCCATTGCTTGATAAAAGAATAATTTTTTCAAGGATAAAAATCACATCCTGATCTTATTCGTTTATCCTGAATTTTATTTCTTTAAGTTCTTGAGTGAACTCAAAAGACTTTTTCAAGAGACACTGTGTAGCAGTTAGTAATTGTGTGCATTGCTATAAGATACGTCTATATATTATATAAGACGAGGGAGGCAAGCTGTAATCGTAAACGTAGATAAGTCTGATTCGATTATAATTTCATTATGAAAAGAGGGATCAGTAATTACATTTCTTAATTTTTTATACCTAATCTTTTACGATAGAGCTGTCTAAATACCGCCAGAACATCAGTGAAAGATTACAGAAAGTGGGAGCAATTAAATGATTAAGTCCAACGCTTTATTTATGGAAGAAATTAATTAACCTTCTGATAAAAGTCCAGGAATTTCTTGCCTCGTTCAATACTTGATCCATTATACCCTCCGTTCAATAATTATTATTCATTCTTTATTATTAAGTTTTAATCTATGCTTTAATCTGTTGTGTCTTTAAGCGATCCACGATTCTGATTGCAGGACACAGAAGCGGTATCGGGACGAAACGATTTCGCGAAGAATAAACTCTAATTGTTCCGGGAATTCACATAAGTTCATCCTCTCAGACGATTAACAACGAACATGTTCGCGTGACGTATTAAATGAATATGTGTATGTATGTGTATGCATGTATAGGTATCTGAAAATATGGGAGTGCTTGCGAGTGTGTCCAGAGAAAGAGAAGGAAGCAAATCGATGGAGGGAAGGACAAGCGAAGAAGGGGGGAAAAAAGCTGAGAAGAGAGAAGTGCGCGCGAGAAAAAGTGTGAGCTTGCCTTAAAATAATTCAAAGGGAGAAAGAAGTAAGTGCGTTCTAGTCATGCCATATTCCCCGCAAAAACGATTTGGCTGTTATCAAAAAAAAAAGAAGAAGAAGAAGAAAAAGAAAAAAGGAAAGAAAAAGAAGAGGAAAGGTGAAAACTATAGATAGTATACGTATGTACTGGTCAGACCGCGGGTACACACACACATATGTGTACATATACTGTATTTATTTAATTCTAAAAAATACACAGGTTTCTATATGGTAATTTAGTAGCGGATTACATTGCAATTCTTTTTTTTTCCGCCGGAAAACGACATCGGTAATTTTATATGCGCGTATATACTGAACGACACTTATTATTTTTGTCGGGGGAATTTTTGATGCCGGATCGATTGTCGCAAGGGGGGAATCTTGCAGGAAGGAGAGAAAAGTGCGCAAGCACCTGAGCAGAAACGAGCGACAACTGTTCACAATGACTCGTTGTGCAATATACCAGCCATGTGTTTCATTCATTGCCGTTGTATAAATTTCTAAAAATTTATTTCTGATATTATATACCAGAAATGAGACGAGAAATTACTAGGGTTCGCTAGGAAAACGTTCTCCCTTATTGTATAATCTCTCTTTAGTATAACATATTTATTTTATACATTAGATTTACTACACGATTTCAACGAAACCAGAGTAAAACCGTGCAACGTACATCCAAAAGTTCGAAAGAGAAGCTGCGATTAATCGGATATTGCATGACTGCGTCGAGTTTGTAATAGAATTGGAAAGCATAGTGCATTTTTATCAGTGCAATAATTGCATAGCTACGAAACGTGCGCGATGACCACACGTTAATAAACTAGTCGAGTGTACTACTTTGATGTGACTGACTTTGGTTGCTACTGACGAGGGTTGCCGGAGAAGTTGATTTATCTCCGCGTCTCTCTTTCTGAATAGCCTATGCCATCGCCGCGTCGTGAAACGGATAAACAAGACGAACACAAATGAATTCATTCCAGAGTGGCGCGATTGCACTAAAGAACTTCTTTTTTTTTTTATCGAAACGTTTCTTTGATATGAGCGCGGTATAACAAAAGTTAACAAATAATGGAATCTAGAATCTCGGGCAATCCTATCGACGATCGAAAAACGTCTCTCAAAGCGTTAGATTGAATTTTTATACAAGAGCGTGAATTTTTTCTCAGTTGTGAATCATTGACAAAGTATATCCAACGCGTATTAGTCAAAAAATTGACGTAGACCGGTAATTTATAGAATGTTCATAAATGAGCACTAATTGCGTCGATTCACAGATCGTTTACCATCACAGCAGTTTGGTCAAACACTTGATCAATTTCCTCCGTCGCGGATCATTGGCTCTTGAAAATGGCAGTATCAATTAAGGTGTGCGTAATTAAGGTAGCGCACTGTTCATTTAATCTCCAAGTGGCAATTAGAATAATCGTACTGTAAATGACGTTATTAATTTCTCAAGCAAACAATACAAACAGCGCGATAGACTTTGTTCTTCGATTTTGCAATCAAGAGATGCAATGAAAACACGTCTAAGAGGTATTTCAATAAAAGACCAATGACATATAATGTAAAATTTCAGACATTTCTGTTTCGTTTGCGTGATCAATTTCGCACGAGCGCGAAAATTTGAGAGGGATTTTCGTCGTCAATCAGAGCAGCACAAATCGTTGGCAGACTTGATAACCGTTTTGACGACAAGATCGCGTTACTGAATACCAGCAGAAACATATTTACCGTTAAGAATAGTTATAGATAGTGCGACGAACGTAAAATTAGACTCACTTTCGCGAGTTGTATCGCGACCTTCGAACGTAAATTACATTCGCCTTGAAAAATTACAATGCGAAGAGCCAGTCTTGGTTTCTTTTCTTATCGATGCACATTCTAACTTCAGGACGTTTGAATTTTCGTCTAGGCGATTAATTTCGTCCGCGACAGTTTTCTAGATAAAAATTCAGATATTTTGACGTTATTACGAGTACGTTTAGATGGAGAAGTGCGATTTTTCGCGCGGCGTATTGCTTTTGAAGAAGAAATGTAAAATGTCCTCACCAAGTTTGAGATCGACCACTGGTCCACACTGCCTTCGATCGAGGGTCGCAACCCGACGCGAGGCAACGGTTATACAACAGTTATGCGGAATAGGCGGACTGTATCCCGGCATACACTTCCGTTTAAACGGAATATGATTCCCAACACGATATCGCTATACAAAATCGCATTATGAATTTAGAGTACGGAGTCAGCACCAGCATTGCGACCAACATTGAACTTTAAGTTTACCGTTGTTACGAGAATCTCAATATAATTATGGAGATTTTCAAGTACGTCTAAATGGGACGTCCGTTCTTAGCGATGTTCTATGAACATAAATGCAGGGAAATACCTCACGGTCAACATGATTTGAATATTATTATTAGTATTTTATAACCAGCTTTTGTAACGTTAGAGAAAGACATTGTTTCTATTCCCTCGCCAAATCCCCGCCCGCTATCCCTCGACATTTCACCGCGACTCTACTTGTTGATGATCTTGAAACGAAGCCCACGAGGATGGAAATTACATGATGCCGATTTAAAGGGCGTCACGTTCTGAACGAATTTTACGGGCTGCTACGCGGCACACGTGTATGTACAAATTCATTACACCTGTTTGTTACCTACGAGTACCAACCCATACTTAAAAGGACGTATCGACAACTGCTGCTCAGTATTATGAAAGCGCGGAGATGAGCAATCGGACATGCACACCCATCGGGTCAACTGCACTAACGATGATTGATATTAAGTTAATCATTCTCGCACTCTATCTCTGCGTTATAAATAAAAATTAGCAATCAAGAAAGAAATAGAGCGAATCGTTACTTTCGGATTACTTCGTGATTGAAAGCGTACTTCTGCTCATTTGCTCGCGATAGGATTCTCTTATTCTCTCTTCCTTTCACTCCCTTCATCTTGGTCTCTTTTATCTCCTTTGCTACCTCTTCTTAATCTCCTCCCTCTCTCTCTCTTTCTCTCTCTTCCCAATTCTTTCTTTCCCTCTCTTCATCCTGATCTCTTTTATCTCTTTCTCTTCCTCTTCCTCATC